TACGGAGAGGAGGGTGCCACCCTGTGCAGCGGGGAGGGGCTGTGCAGTTTTTTTACAAAAGAAAAAATAGAAACATAAATGCCAGTCATACATATACCAAAAGGGAGGCAGCATTTTTTGTATGGAGAGGAGGTTGCCACCCTGTGCAGCGGGGAGGGGCTGAGCAGATATTCTTCTAATTCTGATAACGTGGTATACAATACATTGTGATGTTGGTTTGTTTTTGTTGAGGGTGTGGTTCTTGTGCTTACGTTTTTCTACGTTGTCCGTTCTCTTCTCTCCTTCTGTTTTGTTATAACAGTGGTTGAATAACGCGTTGTGAATTATACAAAGATTCTACCAAAAGGGAGGCGCTGTTTTATCTGGAGAGGAGGGCGCCACCCTGTGCAGCGGGGAGGGGCTGCGCAGATTTTTAAAAACATGTACACCAACTATAGCAAAAACACAAAAGAACATTTCCTGTTTTTGGAAAAGTTGATGGTCTGCAAATTGAAAAACAACTATATATTTTTGTTTTTCGTTGGCGCGTACCAGCGTGGAAAATGAAATCGAACCGTTTATGATGCGTCGCAGCGACCTACTTAACAGATTTACCGCACTTGCCTTAACCCTGCTAAGTACACTTAGTAACCTTCCTAAGTGCCACTTAGTAATTGGTATAAGTTAGTTTATGTAAATCTGATAAGTGACTATATCGAACTTACAATAACATAGTTAAATAGTTACTTAGTTCCATAAGTACTTAACAAGTATCATAACCACTTAGCAACCACCACGGTCATCCAAGTATCCATCACATTCCGCTAGCAGTTCATGTCCCCATGAACCCAGAGAGAAGTGTCCCAGAAGGGGCCTTTGCAGGGGTTCCACGCCTGAGACATGCCATTGTAGAGTCAGGCATCAGGTTCATTGAGGCAGAGGCTTGGCAAAACTGCCGGCAGCTCCGCGTCGTCAAATTGCCTGCCACAGTGGTAGGCATTTCCGATAATGTCTTCCGCGATTGCAAACTACTAAACAGCGTCGTGGCTCCGGGTTGCCTAGACTTTGGGTATAAAGCCTTTGCGGAATGTTGTTCCTTGCAATGGGTGTATGCATCGGAAGGGATTGCAAATGTGTTCAATAGCGAAGCCAAGTTAGGACAATACCTCTTTCAAGGTTGTATCAATCTTGCTGAGGTTACCTTAAGTGAGCTTCCATCTCCCCGAGAGTCAGTACTGCAAGCTAGGGTCAGTGAGTTAACGCCGGGCTGTCTTAGCTCCACAGGAATCACTGCACTTGCTCTCCCAATGCATTTTGTAACTATCGGAGCGCATGCATGCGACAGTTGCCGACTGCTTAAGAGTGTAGACCTTTGCAACACCAATGTTGAGGAAATTCCGGAATTCGTCTTTGTGCACTGCACTAGTCTCAGAGAAGTCCTCCTTCCGACAACTCTCCATACAACCCGAGGCAAAGCCTTCATGAACTGTGCAGCCCTAGTGGAGCTTGCCATTCCGCCCTCGCTGAGGTACATAGGAAGTAGGGCCTTCCTAGATTGCACTGTCCTTAGTAGGCTTGTCAAGATGCCAGGAAGGCATAAATGGAGAGGAGTCTATGCTGGTTGGCACTGGCATAGAGGCATCTGTCCATCCGCAAGGATGGGATCGGCTGCGCAACCAGACGCCCCTAGACCCCAAGCAAGGTTTGCCGGGTGTGCCTTGCTTGTGCCACAGATGTTGGGTGGGGTAACCGGTAGAGGGGCGTAGTCGGAGGGGAGTTGCAGTGATAGTTTCCTGCAGAAAACCCTCGCAGATGTCTAGTCCGCGTTTCTGGACCTTATACGTCTCAGGGAGGAAATGCCCTGAGTGTGGGGTCGCACTACTTCAGCTTGTAGTGTCTGCGTTGCCTTTGCGAGTTGTTCACCAGTTTTTTGTGTGATTCTTTTTCCTTTTTCCGCCGCTGTTTCCTGACAGTGGTCGGTTGCCGTGAGGAAAATGAATGCTCTGCACGTTCCTCTCTGGCACCGTCGTGGGAAATGAATGCTACGCACGTCCCACGGGGAAATCGGAATGAGGGTCGCTCAAGTTTCTGGTGGCCGGCTTGGCTGACTTCTTTCGGGTAGTGTCGCTTCTCCTTGGTTTTTTCGCCCATTTCGATAGCCTTAGCTATCGTCTTGGGTGATTTTTCCTGGGATTTGCGTCGTTGCCTGTTTGTTTTTAGCCTTGCTGGTTACTCTTTTGCGTTTCCTGACGCAATTGGGTTGCAGCTTGCTTTGGCTACACCTCCGGGTGAGCAGCAGGGTCGTCACAGACCTGACAGGGATCTGTGCTCACTGTGTGGCAGCGGTGAGGGGCGGGGCCGGGGAAAACGGTCAACTCGATGAGGGAAGACCGTCGGTAGTCTGAGGGGTTTGCTGCCTACTTGCCTTCCTGAGGTTCGTAGTGCCCCCAGACGTCGCTACAGACTGGGTCCCTGGCCGGTCAGGCAGTAGTGGTCCATTAGCTCACTGTGACGCCGGCGTCGTGCAAGGCAAGGCCTTTTTTTGTGCCTTCGACCCTCTGCAGGCCCAGGCGTCCAGTGAGGGAGTCGTAGTCCCTTCGCTTCCTTCCCTGATCTCCTCGCCGTGGTCGGCAGCTTAGGGAATGGAGTTTCTGTTCTGCCTGTGTTTACTGACCAGGCAGGTGCAGTTCTTCTCCTTCTATGGCTCTTTTGGATGTCTACTGCCTGGCTCGATGTACAGTCGGAAGAATTGCCCACCAGGGTTTGCACTTCACTTCTGGAACGGTGGGTCCCGCATCAGGTGTAGTCACGGGGGAAACCTGCACTTGCTACATGCTGTGAATCGGCCGCTGCGCGGAGCCTCTGTCAACCTCGGTTGCTTCTTTTTGCGCCCAGGCACGCACGGTTGTATACTAACACCGTTGCCTGGCCTCTGTCAACCTTTGTTGCTTTTCTTTGGCCGGCGCTCGGGCGGTCGTATTTGGAGTTAAAGCGGCCGCCCACGGCCGCTGTAGCATTTGCAGGGGGAGACCGTGAGCGAACCTGTGTAGTCTTTTGTCCCGTGGTCCTGGCTAACCAAAAAAACCAGTGCCTTCCCGCCAGGTTGGGTCTCAAGGCAAGGGGGCGGTACGCGGCGACAGTCCAACTTGCTGTCGTGCTGCGGAAGATCCGCTTTTTCTTTGGAAGAGAATGCTTTCGCCATTTGTCCTGCCATGCGATGGCCACCCTGGCTGCACATGATCCCGGACATGGGGCACACCCCTGGTCTTGGATGAAAACGAGACTTTTTGGCTGCAGCGAGCGCTGTATCGCAGTTACTCGTTAAGAGTCTGGGCGCGCGCCTTAGCGTGAGTCCAAGGTAGGTCAACGATCACGTCAGGACGAATTCCATAGGGGAGCGGAGAAACATCGCAATTGTACCCTTCCATAGGAAGTTCCACTCAAGAGTATCATGGCGAGGCTAGGGGCAAGCAAAAGAAAATAAACTGCGCATTGCCAACGACCAGTGTCCCTGAACAAACTGGATAACCCGTCTAGTCCAGGCAATGCTGAGAGCTGTCGACAGATGCCAGTAGTCACAGGGAAGAAAACCGATCAGACCTGACAGAGCCGGCAATCCTGTGGCTGGAATGGGGGACAAGCTAACCGACAGCAGAGTACGGCAAGCAAGATGCGCAAGCACCAAACAACCTCTTTTCGCCATTCGTAATGCTGTGAGCCAATAGGAGTGAGAGCCTTAGCTCTTCGTTCCTAACAGGCGGGTGGTAGAGAGTGGCAATGGCGGACGCCCAGGGGGAACCTTAGTTCCCTTTGTTGATGTCCGACATTTCCAATTTTGTACAAAGAGGTACAGATACCATGCTAGGATTGTCCAAAGTTTCACCTGTTTCACCTCTTTCACACGGGCCTTGCATGCAGCCGATCACCTTTTGCAATGGCGCAGCGCTTCATAGACCCAGATGACACCCCACTCTGTTTGCTATTTGGTACCTTGGGTGCCAAAGGGTGCTGAACTGACCTCCCTTCGGGGGGGGTCTTTTCGCGCCATTACTTGCAGGCTTTCGTCGATTATGGCCGCCACTTATTGATCGCCGATTGGTAGCATGCCACTTGACTTGTAAGTGCAATCGGTTGAACGGGTTGTGCCACAAGAAAGGTCTTTTCCACGGCATGCTGCATAGCTACGCCACCCCACTTGCCAGGGATGCAATCGACGTTGAAGCATTGCGATACTCCGTATTGGAGTGTTGACCTGCATCGTGACCATGATTTTGCCGCACTGGGGTGTGGCCGCTGGTCACTCATAATTGTGAAGTAAGGTCCCTTTGAAGCCTTTTTGCGACTTTGCTTGAGCACAGACCTGCGCCGATATGCTTTTCGTTCGTTAATTCAGGCCCCTTTCTAGACACTCTTTTTCGTCTCACCTGTTTCACCTAGCACAGAGGAAAGAATACATGATGGTGGAGACTCGGCCTGTGGGCCTTTGGTTGTGGTTTTTGGGTTGTGGTTGTGGTCCTTGTTATTTTCTCCACCATCAGA